CTGGCCACTTGGTAAGTTAGTCTAGTTTTGATCAAGCAATTTGTCTCATTATTTATATATTTTCCTATCTCTAATCTACAGTGTTTTTATTTCTTATGAAGTAACCTAATAGAAAAGTTAATTTATTAGTCTTAAAAAGTTTTTTCTTTCTTCAGTGATATCTCATTCAGTTGAATGCTGATGTTATGTTTTTATGCAATTGTTGTGCTAAATTCAGGTTGCTAGTGCTCTTTCAGATCCTTATCTTTCATTTGCAGCTGCATTAAATGGTTTAGCTGGACCACTCCATGGTTTGGCTAATCAGGTATTGTAATTCTGTCATAACTCTCTCCATTATGTGCCATCATTTTCTTGTTAAGTAGGATTTCTTGCCCCACTATTTTAGTAATTATATTGTACTAACAAATTAATTTTGGAGTATTCCCGTCTTTGATTCTTTTTGTGCTTTCAAGTCCGTGAAATTGAGCTGAAATTCTGAAGGCATGTTGAAATTAGTTATTTTCTTTTTAATGAAATATATGATGCCACATTTGTTTCTTTTTTCGTTTTTTCTCTATATGCAACATTTTCAGTTCAATTATGCTGTTACCGGCAAGACATCTGAATTCTTGTTCATAGAAATCTTACTTGGTTTCCACTTGAAATGAATTCAATTGCTTTTTTGTTTAATTCTGCTATATTGTGGTCACAGGAAGTTTTGCTCTGGATCAAATCTGTTGTGGAAGAGTGTGGTGAGAACATAACCAAGGAACAACTGAATGATTATGTCTGGAAAACATTAAATAGTGGCAAGGTATTGTCATTCATTTGTGTAGTATAAAGATATGGTTCCGTTTTGACTATATATTTAAAGTTTTTCTGTTTCTCAAGTGATTATTTGAGACCTTGTGATTACCTAGTGAAATTTATTGATGGTTATGCTTACTCCTTTGCTCTTGTTTTATTATTGTTGTTTGCTTCCATAATGCCAACTTGGCATCTGGACTCGTTAATTTTGAGATATTATGGGGTTTTGGTGGTTGATTCTTTTCAGAACTTTTTGGCCTGCGCAATTTTGCTAGGTATCAACTTTATGATGTGTTTTTGATACTGACTCTTTACCTTGGGTTCTGGGTTTTAGTTTAGCCCTTTTCTTTTTCCTAAAAAAAAATAATTATTATTATTATTTTACATTTACCACCGCTGGTTGATTTCTGTTAAGACTCCCTGCACTATTAACCAGCAAACACACAAACAATCCACAATAACAGAAAGGAATTTACTCAATCGAGTCTCAACCAGAGTATATTTCTAGAGAATAGAAAAGAGAAACAAACAATGTGTAAACCAAACAGATAGATCCCAGCAATTTGAGGAGCTGGGGACCTCCCTCAACGAGGACCTCCCTCAATGACAATAGACTAAACTTCAATAATACCCCAAAACTGAACCCCTCTATTTATACTAACTTCTTAACTACCTATTCTCTACTAACAACTTTGATTCCCTACTCACGTGACTGTAACAGATTTCTCCAAACAACCAGGCACCTCACACTCCTTACATTTACTGCCCCAAATGTCCCTTATGCCCTTTGTATTGATAAACATGTTTAATGGGAGGTCTATCAATTTCATAGTGTTCACTTGAAGCTAGTTTTACATACTGCTGATTGTGTAGGATTTCATCCCATGATCTCTCAAAATATGTAGGTTGTTCCTGGATTTGGTCATGGAGTCTTGCGTAAAACGGATCCAAGATACATCTGTCAGAGAGAGTTTGCCTTGAAGCATTTGCCCGATGATCCGCTATTCCAGCTGGTTGTTACTTATCCCTTTTTGCATATTATAGAGAATAGTGTTTTATTTTATTATACAAAAGCACTATTACTTTTGTTACTAAGTCCCATATGAACTAACTAGCTTGCACTTTAACAGGTTTCTAAGCTCTTTGAGGTGGTGCCTCCGATACTTACAGAACTGGGCAAGGTAAGTTGCTTATCATTTTTCTTTGAGCAGAGACTATTTCTTCTTCATTCTTCTTCCTCGCCACCCCCCTCCTGCCCAGGGTATTTCAAAGATTTATTTGTACAGTGCTGAGGGTTTGTGACCATACATTATGATCTCTGTTCTCAAAATGTAACTGTAGTAATAATCTTGAATATCATGAAAAATCTGTGATGAGAATTCAATAAAAGGAGTTCTGATTTCTCACTAATAAGACAATAATGGGCCCAGTTAATGAATAATAAATCACAAAAATGTGAAAGAATCCATGGATTACTTGTATACCCCTTGTAATTTCAAACAAATGGAAGATGTTATTTATGAAACTACTATGAGATATTTGATAATATACTACTTTCTTACATAGTTTTACTCCCAGTGAGCTTATTGATGGGTAACTAATGGTTACCATGTTTCTATAACATATTATCTAATGTCCAAATTTTTAAATTCTGTTTTGAGTTTCTTTTAGTCAAGTAAAATGGGTTATGATGCTCTTGGATCTGGAACTTGTTCATGCTTGTAGGTTAAAAACCCCTGGCCCAATGTTGATGCCCACAGTGGGGTGCTGCTGAACCATTTTGGTTTGACTGAAGCAAGGTACTGTTCTCCATATTCTGTTAGCAATTATTATTAATGGCATTGTTTAGCAATCGTATCACTTAATTGGGAGATGATAATATTGCTTCAAATTCATGGTTGGCAGATATTATACTGTTCTTTTTGGTGTATCAAGGAGCCTTGGAATTTGCTCTCAGGTTTGTTCTGCACTCTCTCTCTTTTACTGTTGGTCATTAACTGTTATACTTAGTTGGTCACTTTATTTATTTATTTTTTGGTACAGCTGATATGGGACCGAGCTCTTGGGTTGCCACTTGAGAGGCCAAAGAGTGTTACACTAGATTGGATTGAAAAACATTGCAAGAAAGCAGCTTAAAATGAGGGGAAATGGTTTACAATTTAGTGCTAGTAATAATTGCTGAAAAAGCTTTGGGTTTTGTAATGGATGGAGGGGCAGTGTACATTACCATCTTTATTGATTGAGTCAAATTTTTTTGTATAACAAGAATGTTATTCTGCTCTGGATTTTAAATTTTGTTGATGGATCGTATTGAATGAGAAAAATGAATAAAGCAGTGTTAAATGTTTGGGAAGTTTAAGCATCATTGATTGGGTGAGCACATTTTATGTGAATATAGTTTGTTCAATGTGGACATTGATCATATGTGCATGTCCAGTTGGTGGAGTGATTGGTTTTTGGATGGGTTGTGTTTCCTGTTTTCAATATTTAAATGTTTGTTGAAGCAAGAAGCCCTGAATTAGTGAAATATATTATGACGTCATGTAAGAAGGTGTTGCTTATATACCATGTTGTTGGCTGTGAGCATGCGTATGTGATTATTAAAAAGTTGCTGTGTGGCCCTTAGGTCAAATGGGGCTACAAACAAAAAAAAAAAAAAAAAAAAGCAAAGTTTGAGGTGATTGGATAATAGTGGTTGGTGTGAGTGAGTCATACTGCCCATTAATTTTGATCAGTAAAGAACAGAAATTTATCCGAAAATGGCGTCCCTCTCGCTTTGTTGTGTGACAATACCATCTCGTCATCCCTCCTCTCTCTCCCTCAATCTTAGTCCCAAACTCTATCCCTTTACTTTCAATTTCAGGTACACAACCCAACCCCTTTTCTGAACTTTGTTTATGCAATTATATTATTTGGAAATTTGTGACTCGTATGTATATCCATTATAATTAGAACTGGGTAACTTTTTTCACCCAAAGAAAAATAATTAGGGATTTGGACATATAATTAAGAATCAATTGTTTGATTCAAATGGAAAGTTTAATGGAAGTTGAATCCCACAATCATTTCCTCGTAACAGTGTTGTCAAGTTTAGTTTTGTGACTGTTACTGTCCCGCTGATATATATGGGATGGGATGGGTAAGGTGGATTCATGTTCCAACTTCCAATTCACAATTTTATCCTCCGTCTGGTTTTGTTCACCACTGACATTACGTAAAATTATTCTTGTAATAAATCGAGGGTTTAATGATGCATTACTAGGCTGATACCCTACTGATGTTTATTTTCTGTCAATTAGGTTCAAGAATACTGTGGGATTGCAAATCAGGCAAAGGTCATTTTCCGCATTTGCATCAAATTCAAATCCTTCTGGGGGAGATTCTCTTCAACAGAAACCAGATGAGACTAAGACGACTGATGCTGGCCAAGGCCCTCCATTCCTCACTATTTTGGCTGGGTTGCTAGTGTTTTTATTTATTTGTTGGATAGTTGGATCCCTTGTATTGTGGCTTGTTGGTTTAATATTTTAAGTTGCCTCCAAACTGAGAAAATGTATGTACTATCCTATGTTGAAGTTTGATGTAATCAAAATTGTTTATCAGTCTTTGCTTCTTTTTACTTTTGACAACATGGCATCATAAAAGAGGTGAAAGTGAAACACATAAGTAAATTCGCTCATTTAAACTTGTGGCTAGAGGATAAACATTGATTCTTATAAACTACATGAGCAAGTATAATATCTAGTCATTAGTTGTTGCCCATCCTGTATCTTACATGCAAATGATTCAGTGAGAAATGGAAGCATTTGTACTGGAAACTTACAGCACCCGGCCTGTGAAATGATTTGTATAATCAATCATAGTAAGTAGCCCAAGGAAGGCTGAAAATGAGAGTGAACTGATTATTTTCATTCCTATCCCATAATCCACCATTGATGTTTCGAAAGGGAGATGATAGGAAATCTGAAATTAACTTAACTTTTGACAGTTCTTTGTCCACAGAATGCGACACACAGCTCCTTTGCTTTCTAAGGAATTCAATAATCATACAATTCTCTGCAATATTTACCACAACAGATGTTCTAGCATAAGGCAAATCAAATTGGATTAATGTCCCACGAAAGATATCCGAAATTCAATTTGGTGACAACATTGTTGTTGTATTTAAAAAATGCATTAGAAAAGGAACCGGAAATTCATCTCCACAACATAAATGAGAAATCAAACATTTATTCATTAGAAATAAGGCAAATGCAAAGAGAAATGAGAGTTAAATTTCCCAAAAAATAGACAAGAAGAGAAGTATGGTTTCAGAATTGGATAGGGAGTTAACTGGAGCTTTTTCCTATTGCTCGAGTATTATCATCTCCAACTGATCCGGTAAAATTCCGTCGCTCATCAACTGTGGCAGTAATAACTGGCATCCATACATCAGCTGTACCACTGAGGAGCGACTGGACCTGTGGGTCTGCTGCTGTAGCTGAGGATATCATCTCATCAACATCATCCAACTTTGCTGATAATTTATCCAACTCCCTTGCTATTTCCAACTAAGAGAGTAGCAAAACCCACGTAAGATACATAATTTGTCCCAAAAAAAGAAGAGGTAAAAGAGAAAATCTTAACTTCGAAAAAGGTTTCAAGAGGACCGCCCTATACCTCATCAAGCTGTGTCGAGTTCGAAGGAACTTTTGTAACCTCCAACCCAAGCGCTTCAATTTTGGAACGCAATTCAACTTCCTCCTGATTAGTCAATGCTTCCACCTAGAAGATAAATTTTGATGAGAAAACTTCATAGAAAGGAACTTTCAGAAATCACTAAGCCTATCCAATAATTGAATCATATTAACATATCAAATGCCGGAATTAAGAAGAAACACCTCAAATATGGGCAGAATTACAGTTTCAGCAGCAAAATCATAAACAATTGCAATACAATGATCCATAGCCCTCCTTCATGTCCATTACTTTAACAAAAAAGATGGATTCATAATTTGGTATACCGTAATGTATCATCATAAGTTTACTAATAACAATTCCTTGGGAAATCCCCCTTGAATATCCAACCTCACTCCCCTTATTTCCTCAAAATCTTAGCTTTCATGTAAAGTGTGCCTCAAAATTCTATTTTTCAATCACATTCTGTTATGATTCTTCCGCAAAACTTCTAGCAAAATTCCCTAAAGCTAAAACAACTTTTTATCATATTTCAAGAAATCAAACAACTGACACGTCATTAATCAACAGCTCTACACGCGGGTTCGACACAAAATTCTCCGGCATCAGAAAAGTAAAAACACAAACACTACCCCGAGATTATGAAATTCGATTGGCAGAGAAGATATATAAATTCAGTATTACGAATGAAACTAAAATACCCAGATCACAAAACTCAACAATTTATAAACCAAGTAATAAAATTGATGAAAAAAAAAAGATACCTGTTGGAGGAGATTGGAAAGAAGCTGAAAGAGCTGTGCATCTGCTTTCCCCTGTTCTTCCGCCATTGATTATTTGATTTTTCATATTTCGTGTTTTTATTATTAATAATATTAAATGATAGTTATTGTCAGAGACACCTGTATTGCACGCCCTTTCTATCTATGACGTGGTCATTTTTATATTGGAAATTCTTCCCACATCCCAACTCATATGCACTACTAAATAAAAAGGGTGTTTTTTATTTTATACTTAATCTCATTGATTTATTCTGAACAAGTTGATTTGCGTTTGATCATCTTTAACTTTCACAAGCTAATTTGATATCCTAAATCCTTTCCATGATGAACATCTTGTTCATTGAATTAATGTGATGCATGTTGATGTTGTGTCATGTTCTTGTTAGTTGCATGTCGTTTTAGTATAAAGTCACTTAGCCAAGCGCTCAATGCAGGGCAATTACTTGCACAAGTTAGGTCTTTTGTAGGACCCCCATTTAGCTAAGCTTAACTTCAAATCAATCTTGCTTTCTGTCCAGGTTCTTACCTCTACTATTACATGCTTATCTTATCTAGTTGATTCAACATTTTCTCAACCCTGAATCATTCTTATTTCTTAATCTACTGGTAAGATTAACATCACTCTACACCTACAGCCTTTTTAATTTGTGTCTGTATCAGGAATGAGTAACAATAAAATAGATTCATTTAATTTTGGCCCTCCTAGTCCTGCCTGTCCTAGAAGATTAAAAATTTGGTTTAATGAAATGAGAATGGGTTTTAGACCAGAAGGAACTTAAAATGGTAAAGATACATACAGCTAATAAATACACAACTGTATCCTTGCTGGTTAAGGAATCTTTATTAGGATGTTAATAAAGTAAAGCAGACAGCAGTTAGCATTTGCTTCTTCATTCTTACTCTCCCTTATATAAGAACAAGACAAAACAAATAATAAATTAAGATTTAAGATAATTATGAGTACTCTAGTAGTATTAGTAAAAAAATCAACCATTGTCCGAGTCAGAATCCTATTCGCTGAAGCAAACAGAATTCCAAAACCCACAGCTGTATTATGAAAGTGTTAAGTACCACTTATTTTTTCCAAAGCAAAATTTACATATATAATAAAACGTCAAGAAAACTTTATAGTTTTCGTCTTTATCCTTCCTAGTGAAGCAGTGAGTAGACTAAAGTCTACCACTCAACCCGTATGGTAAAGCGTACAGTTTCATTCATGTTTGCTACCGACTCCCTTGTTTCATTAAATCAACTTTCATCTTTTAGAAAAAAAACCCCTTTTCCTAAAGCAAACACCAAACATATTTATTTCAGTGAACTAAACGCAGACTTTTTAAGAAAAATATAACATCAAAGTTGTGACTTGGCGTGTTCTAAGTGGACAGAATAAAAGCATTTTGAGAAGTTAAGAGAACTCGGAACCATTTCAACTAGAAACTGGGTGTATGTGTGTGTCTCATGTCGCTGTGGCTTTCTCTCTTACTCTATTTATAGGTACCACACTATAAGTCACGACCAACTTCCTTCTTGTATAAGCATGCACGTTTACATATTCTCTCTCTCATGCAATCATCCCAATTCATCTTTTATGATCATCAACACATAGAATTTTCTTCAACCTGTTCTATCAACTGGTAATCTGTCCACTTCTTTCTCTTTTCTTTTCTCGTATTTCAATCTTCTTTATTAACTGCTGATGTTAATTTTATGTTATGTTTTGCCTTGGTTGGTGGAACACTTAGCATACATATTTGAGTAACCAGAAGGCAATTACTGGAACAAAAGTTAGCTTATTGTTGATATTCGTTAACATTAAACTTTGCTGGGAGTTATGATTTTATCGATGATTCTGTTTTCTATAAGTTTTTTTTCTATTGTAAAGTAAGGGTGATGAGATTTCTGTTTGTCTTTCTCTAGCTTGTACCATAATTGTTCACCTATTCTGTTAATTCTTGGAATTGAAAGGAGTTTAAAAGGTATTTCCTCTGTGTCAATGTTTTAAGGGATTTCCTCTCAGTCAGTATGTTGGGCTGCTAAGAAACTAGATGAAAGACAAAACAAGATATTGAACTTTATATCTTAATCTTGTTATGTTTTTGGAAAAGTAACAGAAAAGATTTTACTTTTAACTTAATACCTGAATTATGCTTGGTGTATTGATTTTTCTATGAAAAAGAAATTCCTTGGGGTCAAGAAAAATATAATAATAATATAATTCGATCATTTATTACATCTGTCCAGTTAAATTAAGCAAATTTTTTCTTGCTTACCTTTTGGTGGTTGGGATGTCATGGGGATTTTTTTTTAATTTAAAATTCAGTTTTGATGTTTCATGGGTTTAACAGGTAAATGAAACAAGTTAGTTCAAGTTGATTTTTGGTGAAGGAAAAAGATGGCATACAGAAGGGGCTCTGATCAACAACTGCAGAGGCGGATTATGCGGACTCAGACCACTGGTAACCTGGGAGAGGCAATGATGGATAGTGAAGTGGTACCCTCTTCACTTGTTGAGATTGCTCCAATACTCAGAGTTGCCAATGAAGTAGAGGCTAGCAATCCAAGAGTTGCTTATCTCTGTAAGTTGCATTATATTAGTGCTTAACTATAGATTTATGCATGTATATGTTATTGTTTATGTTCATAACATTATGCATCCTCTCTTATCAGTTTGATTGCCACAGCTTGGTAGTAAATAAAGGATTCAGTGTACCTTTGGATTCAATCTTGTGATTATTGACAAATATGTAGAGTACTTAATTTATTATATTTTGATTTAATTTGATGTTTTATGAATGTCTGTCTAAACTATGGTGCATATTATTTTGGCTGTTGGAATTAGGTCGGTTCTATGCCTTTGAGAAAGCCCACAGATTAGATCCTACATCAAGTGGACGAGGTGTTCGGCAATTTAAAACAGCACTTCTTCAACGTCTGGAAAGGGTAAGCTCTGGTTTACTTGCTCATGAGATGGTAAATTTGTTGCATCATATACAATCTATCCATTTAAGACTTACTGTCAAGGGAGATTTTATTCTATACTTGCTTTGGATAAAGCAATTTGAGATGGTGGATGGCAATAAATCTTGGCTTCAACTGCAAGAATAGGGGGTGGAAACATGTCAGAGATTCTGGCAGCTTATAAGATATCGTAGACACAGCTTGGAAGGTCAGGCTTCCAATAATTTGTGAAATTTGAGGAGCTGTGTTGGACATTATCTTTTTTGGATAGTTCCTGGACAGTGACTTTTCTTAGGCTCATGGTACATGAATAGCATATATCAGAATGGAAACACCGCAATCAGCACAATAGCAGATAATTAATTTATAGGCTTTGCTATTCTTTACAGTCCTTACATACCGCAAGTCTGTGGACTGAACATCCAAACATTTACAGTTAACATTTGCTGAGCACAGATATTGTTCTTGATCACCAAGAACAGAACAGAATGTTACTGTAGTAGCCCATGACCAAATTAGTCTCAAATTATCATTTTTCATACGATAAAATCCACAAGTAGAAAGAGTTGAAACCCAAAATTCCTTGGAAAAGTTTAGCAACATTAAGCTCTATTGCTCATAATAACTTAATAAGAAGCCACCCTGATAATGTAGAATTTGATATAAAGATGTTGAGATTAGTGCAGAGTTAGGTTCTTACTCCGAAACTAAAATCATTTTGCCAAACTCAGCTTACCTTTGCACCCTTGAGATGCATTTCTTTTCTTATTGTAGGGGAGAATGTTTCAATTTTGCTGAGCTAGCTCAAATTTTTTATGAATGCAAACTCAAAAGTTTTATTGCATGTCATACAGTGATCTGTTTGATGACTGGCTTTAAGAGATTGGGTGTTCAGTGCTTTCTGTTTTCCATCTCAAATGCTTCATGTTGTCTTGAAACTTTTTCATGAATGTTTCTCAAGTATTACTTTCAGGAATTTTGTGTGATCATAATCTCCGTTCCTGTTTCCTTTCAGGAAAATGAGACAACAGTGGCAGGAAGGACAAGGAGTGATGCTCGTGAAATGCAGCACTTTTATCAGCATTACTACAAAAAGTACATCCAAGCTTTGCAGAATGCTGCTGATAAAGCTGATCGGTTAGTTCTCTGAAAGAAAAAATATCTAATTTGTTTGATAGCTTGGATGCTTGGCCCTCTTTTATCATATTCTGTTTGACAAAATCCTGTTGATGGTTCAGTGCCCAATTAACAAAAGCATATCAAACTGCGGCTGTTCTATTTGAGGTTTTGAAGGCTGTCAATCAGACAGAAGCTGTGGAAGTAGCAGATGAGGTGAAAATTGCAGTCCTTTTGTTATCTATTTAAAATAAAATTTTTGACTGACTTTATATCTACTGTTGGCCATGCTAACCACACCCCCCCCCCCCCCCCCCCCCCCACACCACCAAAAAAAAAAAAAAAAAAAAGGTTCTAAGAAGCTTCATGGGCTATGGTGGTTAATGCCATTCTTTTTCTTTTTCTTTTCTTTATTTGGAGTTCCAGATTTTGGAAGCTCACACTAAAGTTGCAGAAAAGACACAGATGTAGACCTTATATATTCTTCCTCTTGATCCTGATAGTAAAAATCAGGCTATCATGGAATATCCTGAGGTTGGTTTTGACTTAATGGTATGTTATAGTTGTTCCTAAATGATTGTGTATTATCTTGAATTAACTTGATTTCTCTTTTGATACACGATTCAAGCAACAGTTTCTGCACTGCGCAACATCAGGGGTTTGCCATGGCCAAAGGACCACCCAAAGAAAGAAGATAAAGACATTCTAGACTGGCTTCAGGCTATGTTTGGTTTTCAGGTGACTGCTAACTTGTTTTGGTGTTAATCCTTCATGATTTATATCAACTGACGTCTTGCTATCAATTTGCAGGAGGATATGTGGCCAATCAAGGGAGCACTTGATTTTGTTGCTTGTAAATGTGCACCTACGGCAAATTCCAAATGCTGAGCAGCAACCCAAGGTTCAAATATTCTCTTTTTAGACAATATTATCTAATTTATTTGGAACTGGTCTCATTATCCTGATAGTATTGTGGTACAAATTTCTTTTAGAAGTTGGATGATCGTACTGTAACTGAAGTGATGAAGAGACTTTTCAAGAACTACAAAAAATGGTGCAAGTATCTGGGGCGCAAAAGCAGCCTTTGGTAAGGCATTCCTTTTACAATTCAAGAAATATAACTTTTCACTTCTATGTTACCTGGTAATGCTGAGTGAATTAGTTCTCTTTTGATAGGAACTAGTGAATGTAAAGGACCACTCTTTGTTGCATGTTGGTAAT